AGTCCCAGTCTAATAACCGACACACTAACGCCTTCAACTAGCCCTTTATTTTCAGCTGAACTGACATCTCTGCCAAAGCGTGTTAAAGAGATTTTGCTGCCCTGACGAATCCTTCATCTTTAGGAGGGTGACAGGAGCTCTTATTAAAAGGTTTTTGATTTTAGCTTTGTAAGGTCTAATGTCTTCAAGTCTTGTATGATTTTCTTAAAATAACATTCGGTTCCATGACCTTAGATATAACTTTATTTATTTCTACCCAGCCTCCTTTCTTTAATCCAGTGATATCCGGTCTAGGCCTGGGCTCTTAGATTCCTGAGCTGATGGTTCTTTTTCTACCAAAAAAATTTTTTGGAAGGTTTTATTCATTTCCATCATGTTTCATTATGTCAAGCATAAAACCACAATGAAGAGAAGACGCTCCTTTGGGCATAGCAGACAATATAGCCGCCATCTTGGGGAGGTCGTCCACCCTGCTTGGCTAAACAGCAGAAGACACCTCAGCTCTGTGCAGCTTGTTATTTAAATCAACCAGGTATGAGAGATAACTTTTAAGAAGTAAAATGATCATCTTAATCTTTGCATTTTAGAATATTAATGTTTTTATATTCAGCTGCTAAAAGTAAAGTCGGAGACAGGAAGGAAATGGAGCAACCATGACCCCTGCATTGGATGCACCATGGACAGATAGCTGAAGGGGCTCGCCGCTCTAAAACCAGACCTTGTTGCACACCTCAAAGGATCAAATGTAAAGAGAATCAGTTCCTGAAGCTGTTGGATTTTAGCAGATGTAAATCGATCTAATGGTTAATGCTATATTACAGTACGTCATCTGCATAACGTTGCTTCAGAAAGTTTCGGGTGAATGAATTTCACAGACTGTCCTCTATCAACACAGGGCAGATAAGATATCCGAGCTGTAAAGAGGAACTTTCTGGGTCGATGTCAGCCATCATGTTGGGGGGCGTGGCCTGAGGCCCATAAGGCATCATCAGTGTGAGAGGCTGGAGGGTTTAACCAGCTAGGGGGGATCAGAGAGCAGCAGCTCAGGTAGCTGAGGACAGGAACCAGGTGATCCGAGCTGGAGAACCAGAACCAGAACCGTTCCCTCCAACATCAGCAGGATGGTTTTCCTTGGAGGAGTTAGAGCAGCAGGCTGTCGGTTATGTTGCTGTGGGCTCCCTGATTAATGAGGCTGAACAGAACCCCTGCTGGGATGTTGGTTCTGCTGTAATCTGTCATGTAAACCCGGTGGGGTTAACCATGGCCCACTTATCCAGGTAGCAGATGTGTTCTCCTGCTTCCTGCTGGTTCCAGGTCAGCTGTGGCTTTGAAAGCTCTGCTTTATGGACCGCTGTGGTTTTCACTCAGCCGGGACAAAGCGGTGTGTCAGGATGAGCACAGGCCTCCCACAGGTCATGGCTGTTAGCTTAGCTGTGCCCTGATCACTGCGTTAACACCTGGTAAAACATAAGCATGTCTGCCCTCTGAATGAACAGCTGAGTTCCCCTCAGTGGCTCCAAGGGGGGGGGGGGGTCTCTAAAGCTGTAGGATTGGATCCGGTTGGCTGCATTTCATTGGATGAACTGGCTGGTTCATCATCTATGAGGTCACTGTTGTTATTAATTGGTTCTTTTTCAATTAGGTTGGTTGAATAGTTGTAGAACTGAGCTGAATAGATGCGTCTTTAGGTCTTTCGGATCTAAAAGCTAAGATTAGTTTTCATTGGTGGGTTTTCTCACCTGTTTGATGAACCGTTTTATTCCTTTCTCTTCTGAATAGAAAAGAATCAAAGGGAGTTTCGACTCTTCAATTCCATTTAGGTGATGGTACAATAACAAAGCTCTGTTTTACTGGAGCAGGATGGGTCAGAATGGGATCCAGTAGAACTAGGAACCTTCAGGAGTTTCCTGTTAATAGAAAGTCTGGCAGTTATTTCTATTCACTTGAGTTTATTTCTATAGCACCAATTCACAACATGTCATCTCAAGGCACTTTACAATCCTACCAAATCTGTTGGAGTGAAACCTGTAGACTGAGAGCGAAGTGCTCTATTAGTAACATGAGGAACAATCAGATCTGTGATATCAGATGGAGCTTGGCTATTTAAGGCTTTATATGTGAGAAGGAGGATTTTAAATTCTATATATGATCTCTCTTTTTAATTAGTTCTGACCTCAGAGGTCCTTTAGAGAGTTTTAGAGAACATCCAACATTATAAAGACTGAAAAAACCCAGCTGTCGGGTCATGAAGGTGGTTCTGGTCCAGTCTACAGCAGGATCAGGTTCTAGAACAGTCTCCAAGCTTTAAATATCTCCCACAGCTGACAGGATGAGGAGGAGAGTATCGATAAGAGGAGGCTCTGGAGGACGTACAGAAATCTTCAAGATCAAAACGTCTAAACTCTTTGGCCACTGGAGCTGTTTTTAAAGACCTGCAGCTAGAAATGAACCAGAGGTGGTTCTACAGAGTATGAA